AAACTTTCTTTCTTTCCAAAGAATTTCCTTTAACATTTCCTTCAGTATTTTGTGATGAATTGCTTCATAATTTGTGTGTTGAAAAAATGTTACTTCACTTTAATTTTGGAAGGATCTCTTTTCTTCAATGTTCTTTCATTTGTTTAAAGATCTTTCTCTACTGTCTGTCCATCAACATTCTTTCAGACAAGTAATCTATTGCCATCCTCTTCTATGTTCCTCATAATCTCAAATAACATTTTCACTCTTAATGCTTTTAGGATTTTCTCTTTATATTTTTGAGAATTTTATTTCAATGGGCATCAATGGAGTTTTATTAATTTGTCTTACAATTGGAATTTGACAGGCTTCTTTTGCCTGTAGGTTTATTTTCAACAAGCTTGGAACATAATTTGACCATTATTTCTTCAGTGACTTATGGTACTCCTTCACTGGGGACTCTAATTGCGTATATTATAGGGTATATGAAGTTGTCATATATTTCCCAGATTTGCTGTTCATTTTCTTAATCTCATTTTTATCTCTGTTTTATTTTGAAAACTTTCTATATCTATGTCTTTGGGTTCACTGAGTTCATAATTTCTTACTCTGTATCTAATGCACTGTTAATATCACCTTTTGTCTTTTTCATGTCACACATTATAGATTTCCTCTTCAGGAGCTAAAATTGTCTTTTGCTTCATCTTCTATTACTTGAGTTATCCCTTTAAAATACAGAAGACGGTTTTGATAACTGTTTCTACTTTCATTATCTAATTTCAGTCTCTTAGTTCAAGCTTGCTGTCAGTTAGTTGAAAACCCTATTTCCACATATTATTCCCTGCTGATTTCTTTTAAGATTAATTTTATTAGTACATTGTAGGTATGCAATATAATGACATTCATCATCAGAGATTTGTACTTTTACATAATATATCTTGATTTTATTTTGACTTTGTAATGTTATTTGAGATCCATTAACTTAAAGTTTTAACTTATACATAGTTATTTGGTAATTGAAACAGAGAGCACCTAGAAATATCTGTTAAATTAAAGTATAAATAAATAAATAAATAAATATCCCATTGATATTTTCAGGTTTAGTTTATTGTAATGGAATTCTAGCTTTCTATTACCACACCAGTTCATCTGAACAATTCCACTGTTCAGTAAAATTTAGTTTGCAGTATATTTCATGTTCTTTGTGTACCACCTTCCTTTAGCACATCCACTGCTTTCAATTTTTTCACCCCTCTGATAGCAGAACATTAGAATGACCACTGGGAAAATTTTGCCGGTACATTCTATTTTGAGTTTGGCTGTCATGAAAGTTCTCTGAGGCACTTCTATCCATCCTCCATATTATTCATTATTTATAACTTTTTTTTTGGTACTGGAGATCGAACTCAGGTCCTTGCGCCTGTGAGGCAGACAGTGGAACCACTGAGCTAAATCCCCAGCCCTTTATCAGACTTTCTTAAACCCATCAGCTATGTAAAATAATGATTACACATATAAACCATCCCACTTGTGTTATTTATCCCCCAAAGACTGCATTCTATCTGTTGGTAGAAGCAATGAAGCAGAATAATTTATATATTATCAGAGGACAATCAAATTGTTCACATGCTAGACACCATACTACTTACATATGCATTCAATAATTATTTATTAAACACAAAATATGTATCCAGTAGACTGAGACTCTGTAATTATAAATATATAAGATAAAGAAGCAATGAAGAATGTGAACTGGTACAACAATTATGCAAATCAGCATGGAGATTCCTCAAAAAACTAATAAAAAATAGAAATTCTATCCAACCTAGCTATTCCCTTTCTTGGTATCTTGCCCAAAAAGTTAAAGTCATCATATTATAGTGGTACCTACATACCCATGATTATAGCAACACAATTAATAATAGCTAAATCTTGAAAATGGCCTCTATGTCCATCAACAGATCAATGGATAAAGGAAATGTGATAGTTATATACAGTGGAGTAACAAGGAAGGATAAACTTTAATCATTTATAGGAAAATAGATGCACCTTGACAAAATAGAAATAGGTCTTTTGCAAATGAGAAGGAGACCAAGAGATGGGGGTAGAGAAGAAAATGAGATGAAAAAAGAATTGAAATGTGTTATGTATGTATACCACCCCCATGAGGAATGTATTCATTATGTACTAAAAATGTACTAATTTAAATTAAAAATGTTAAAAAGAACATTACTGAGACTGAAGATAAGAAAATAAACTATAGTAAAAGCAATGGAACAAATACACACAAACAAATATCTGGCACATGCCTGAGAGAGTGAAATCAGAAAAATGGAAGAGTAGAAAGCACCAAGCTGTTTCTACTTTCACAAACACTCACACAAACCCACACACTCACACATAACTAGTGAAATTAGCCTTATTGCAAACATCAGAAAACACTGAGAATTTTACAAAAACCAAGAAAATGAAAACCAAGGATAATTCACTTTCAAAAGAGTGTAAGATAATTTGTGGCTTGTCTTCTAACATTAGAAATTAGACGAGGATGCTTACTTTAAACCCTACTATTCAACATAGTATTGGAAGTTCCATTTAGAACAATTAGGCAGAAAAATTGGTGTGCTTGCACTCAAATTTGTCCCTTCTCCTCTCTGGTTCAGCAGTAGTCTTGTCCTAAAAGGCATGGCAGACCACATCTTTTTTTTTCTTTTGGTACCAGGGATCAAACTTGGGTCATTGTGCTTGCAAGACAGATGGCAGAACCACTCAGCTAAATCCCTGGCCCAGGCCACACCTTTAACAGGCCTTTTGTCAAACTAGATTATTGAGCAGAGCAGAATATTCTAATATATCTGATGTCAAACCAAAAGACTGGTCTCTGTTTCCTGTAACTTAAATCTCAAGCAGGAAAAGCAATGGTCACCTCTAGTAAAAGCTATAGGTAGGTTATAGACCTAAAAAAAATCAATGGGCAAGATATTAAGATATTAAAAGTATAGATACATGACAGAGCATCTAAGACCCCAAGGAGAAGATGGTGTGAGAATTTATGGAAAATATATATTTGTGATACCTATCTGGGAAAATATGTACATATATATGTTTCATCTTAATCATTTTTACTTTCCCTTCCCCTTCTTGCTTTTCACTCTTTACCCATTCAAAAATAACCTTCCCAATATGCACAAAGTCTACCTCCCTGTTTCCTATCATGCCTTTTTAATTTTGCTCTTTAAATTGTTTCTATTTGGAGCTTCTAATATAAGAGAAACCATATACTATTTAACCTTGTGTCTAATTTATTTCACTTAGCATTGTAACCTCAAAATGCATCTGTTTAACTAGAAATGACTCATGTTTATCATTCTTTATGGATGAGTAGTACTCCGTTGTATAAATATACCATATTTTCTTTATCCACTTGTTATGGTTTAGATTTGGAATGTGCCCCTAAGTCTCATATGTTCAGAAGTCGAGCTTCAGGAAGGTGATTGGATCATGGGGGCACTGTGCTTTTAGACTGACCACTAATAATAGTTCATTCCTGAATGTGCTGCTGGAGGAGGAGCCTACTCCAAAAGGGTTAGTCACTGGTATTTCTTTCTCCTATGCAGGTCCTGTCTTCTCCAAGAGGAACTCAAAGCTCTCTTGGTCTTTAAATTTTTGCTAAGAAATCCACTATTAATGTGGTAGGTTTGCTCTTATATGTTACTTTATGTATTTCTCTAATAGCTTTGTATTTGGCCTTTCTGCTAAATTTCTGAAAGTTTGACTAAGAAGTGGAGAATCTCATAGAGAATTTATTTTCTGTTTATGGCTATTTATATGCCTCCTTTATTTGAAAATTAAATTCTTTCTCTATATTTGAAAATCCTCTGTTATGATTCCAGTAAATTTTAATACTTTTGAGTCATCTTGTCATCTTTGCTTTAATACTTCTTAGGTTGTTTTTCTTTTTGAGTCAACTAACAGCTGTTGGATACAGCTTCCATGATACCTTGGTTTTAGGGTATCAATGAGTATATCATCTACACATCAACCTTGTCATTCTGACATTTCTCACATTGGTCATTCCTGCTACCCATACTTTCATTTCAATTTTTTATATCATGGCATTCAGCTTAATTTCTTTTCATAATGTGTATTTTTCACCAAAGTTATTGTTCCTTTCTTATATTGTGCTATTTAATTCTATCAGCTTATTGACTGTTTCTTCTTTAAGCTCACTGGACATTTTATCAACTCCTTTACCTGTTCAATTAAATCATCTTTACACTCACCAACGTATAAATTTGTTTATCATTTGATCTCTTCAAACTTTTTAACCTTTCAGTTTTTAATTTCTTCACCTATGACTTCTTCTACTTCAGTGTACCTGAGATACCAGTTTTGGGGAGTTAGGCATTTTTGAAAGTATTTCATTGCTTTGGTGTTTTCTTTTTTTTTCATGAAGCTATTGTTATTGTGCTGAGACTTTAAGATCAGTTAGATCTCCACTTTAGTGGAGATCTCTTCAGATTATGTGTATCTCCCTGTGGTGTGACATTGGCCTTTGTTTTGATGTTTATACACCTCTGAAAGTTACTCAGTGGAAAAGTCATTCCTAGTCACTGTGTTTCAAGGTGAGAACAACTACCAGTTATATAAGCATCTATAAAAATATCCATGGTTTAATACTATAAATTAAAACTTATTTTAATAATTTGACAACCTATTTTTTTTCTCAGTAACCCAGAAATACGTAGGATTTCTATTGAAGACAAATAGACTGGATATATACAATGAGGAAAGGAACAAAAAAGAAGAAAAGTGAAAATTTAAAATTTTAGACTAGAATCCAGCAGCTAAATATAGCCACTCTGGGACCTGGAATCGAGACACTTAGAAAACAACTTGGTGAAGAAAAAAGAAAACAAATCTGCAGGTATTTGGAGGGAGCTGATAGTAAAACTACATAATACAAAGAAGAGGGAGAAATGGAGCACAATGCAGAGAAAAGAATGGAGCAGTCTGGAATGTTAATCACACCTCCCAGAGAGAGGGAATTCTGTCTCTTTTGTGGCTTCACCCTGGAAGTCAAAGGCCACAATGGCTTCACCTGTAGGCATACCTTTTTCACTGTACTTTAAACACACTGAGCCTGGGATAACTTGATAGCCATAGTAGAAATCTAAAATCTCAATAGATACAGTGAAGGGCATGTTCTGAACTTTAATTACAGTAGGTCCTGGTTTTCAAGAAGCAGACCAAAGCCAAGGGGACCGCCAATATGTATCAGGCAAGGGCCAGGTCCAGGTCCAAAGGCTGGTGATCCACTCAAATGCCCTGGGATACTTCCAAGACCAGGAGGGCCACTTCCAAAGTCAGGGGGACCTCCTAAGGTACCAGGGCCATTTCCAACATTCTGAGGGCCCCCGTAAATCCTGATGGCCCACTTAAATTATTTGATCCACTTCCAAAACCTGGAGCTTCCGATCCTAGACCAGGCAAACCACTGTTACCAACTGAAGGCATGCCAGGCCTAGCGTCACCAAAGGCCCCTCCTAATCTTGGAGGAGGAAGAGGTGGACCAAAATCGTTTGACCTACCAAAGTTACTAGGAAAGTTGAATGGAGGACCATTGTTGGCCTCCTTTGATCCTACTGTCAGGAAGTCATGCTCTTCACCTCCTGCACCTGGCAATCCTGCAGTGGGCATACCCACACCAGGTATTCCAGCACCAGGTATCCCCACACAAGGTATTCCTGCACCTGGTAATCCCACACCAGACATTCCTGCCCTGGGCAATCCAGCATTAGGCATTTCAGCACTGGGGATTCCAGCACCAGGCATTCCTGCATTGGGTATTCCTGGTACTGCAGGATTGCCTGGCACAGGCATCTTTAACCCCATTTTTCCTTGAGCAGGGGGATTTTTTCAATTTCTCTCATATCTTCTAGGGTAACGACATGAACAAAAGCTTCTCTCCCATTAAGTTTTTTATGATGCAAGTATTCAGACTTACATGCATCATCTTCATTTTTAAACTGAACCAATGCCTATCCTAGACCTTTCCCATTAATATCAACAAGAACATTTACAGCATTTTCATCCACCAGAATTCCTTCAAGAAACTGAAGAACACCCATCTTGGTAATGCTGGATGGAATATTTGCTATATGGGCACAGACTTTGGCAGAGTTGACATCTCCCTCCAGATTTAACACCATTTCCCTCTGGCCATAGCTGAAGTTCTGGAGTCTTTCCTGAGTTGTACCTATCTTTTCTAGTGTACCTTTCTTAGTAATTAGATGGACTTGAATAAAATGATTGCCATGTATTGTTTATGGTGACACAGTACAGCCTTATAGTCAGCTCATTCCTAAACTCTATGAAGCCTTCACCAGTTGCTTTCCCATTGGGTCCATATGCTATATAAATACTATCTTCCACAATAACCAACTTTCAAAAAAATCAATGAGATGTTTCTTTTCTGCTTCAATTGGTAGCCCTTTCACGTAAACACAAAATCCAGCCTCACGTGGTGATCTTGACCTTGACTTTTTCTGCCCACTTGATGATTTTGACATAGGAAATGTCGGAGGAAGGGGATGGGTTTGTCCAGAAGGTCCCATACTTTGCTTACAAGTGATATGACCATGGTGCTACTGCCTACATTGTAAGTGCAAGGTCATAAATTCAATCTCTGGTACAATCAAATAAAATAAAGTGATATGGCCTCCAGCAGCTCTGTCTCTTGTGGCAGGGCTAATTTCCACATAGCACTGAGTCATCAGCATTCTGTTTCATTTCAAAGCTTCAAATGTATCTTTTGGGGAGAGAAACTTAACCAATCCATTCCCATTATTTTGACTTACGTGATCTTCTAATAAATGCACTGCATCAACACAGAGCCCCTGGAAAAAATCTCTGACATAATTGTCTGCTGCAGAAAAGGGCATTCCATGCACACCAACATATAGATCATCAGGATGGTTGGGAAATGGTTTCACACTGCTTTGAGAGTTCATCTAGACAGGGTTAACAGGATTCAACAAACCCAGAGACACAGGGTTCAGATTATTGTTCAAATTTATAGGCACTCCAGAACCATTCATTCCAGCAGGTAGAGATGCCACAGGTGGTGTATTCAAGGGTGGTGTACTCGATATGAGTTGCTGTGGGGTCATGGGTGGCACAGAAGGAACTGAGGGAAGAGGGGTACAGGAGGCACTGGAGGCAATGTAGGTACTGGAGGAGGAACTGGTATCGGGGGAATGGATGGCATCGATGGCAGAGATGGCAATGCTAGGATTGGAGGAATTGGTGGTGGATGGACTGTATTCATTGGAGAGGCTGTACTCCAAATGGTCAAGCTCAACTTTGGGCTCCCAAAAGAAGTTCCCATACTTGGAGGAGCAGCTCCTGTGCAAACGTCTGTATGTTTTTATTGCTTTCATGAACAGAAGTGATAGCAATAACTACACTTGGCAAAGGATTATTAAAATTGGGTACAGTTGTAGGCAAATTTACCCTGCCACTCATTCCTGAGCTGGGTGGTTCTGATCTATTAGCATTTGCTGGTGGTATATCTAAGTTGGCAGTTTCAAAATGCCTATGATTTGGTTCAATTGTATTCTGCATTTCTGTTTTACTACTCAGCAACAGTGTTGCTTTTTACCCTTTAATTGTACCACCTGTGCACGTCATACCCAGCCTGGCATCTTCATCCGTGGCACAAACAATGAAAGCCTCACCCATTTCACCCCTAGAATATACACACCCCTATTAGGAATGGTCAATCCAGAGAAGAAGAGGTAAATTCCATAGTCCCCACTACAACTGGGAGACCTTGGAAATGGATGACCACAGCCATGCTGCACTGAAACTACACACGAGATAAAAGAAGAGATGCACTTTCTTAACAAGAAGTGGAGGCCAAGTCAATCCAGGGAGAGCTTGCACATCACCGGAACCCTGACCCGAGTTACCCCCACGAGTGCCTCTGCCCTGTGGCCGGCAGTCCCAGTCCAAAGGGTTTCCTGGAGCCCAGAGGAGCGACCACCTCCTTCACTGTTTCATACCCAATTGGTTATTCTAAATCCATGGAGCCACCTGTGATAGATTATCACTGGCTAAACAAGTAAGTTCTCATGTTCCACTTATCTGTACAAGACCTAAACAAAGAAAACACCCAGAACCTCACTTTTGGAAAGCCTACTAACTACTCACCAGGAGCTGTTTTACTTTGTATACTTCTAATAGGCCTTTCCCTTTTAACATCTTGCTTTTAGCCTGCAATGTTATTCTTCAACTTCATAAGAAAAAAACGTGGTTTCACACAATTTGAATGGAGTTATCAAACTCACAACCATTATGGAAATTAGTATGGAGATTCCTCAAAAAATTCAATATAGAAGTTCCATTTGACCCAGCTATTCTTCTTCCATGTATCTTCCCCCAATTAAAAGATATTATACATCAATACATGCATACTCATGTTTACAACACAACTCATAATAGCACAGACAATTGATCACCCAACCATTGAACAGTCTGTTGTAAATTTTGAATATCTTCAGCAAATTGAGGGTCAATATCTTTTTGTTGTTGCCATAATGTATGAGAGTCATGATGCCATTGTCTGACACAGTCCACTGTCTGAATACCTTGATGTAATGCAACCCCTGCTGTAGCAGCTATGGTGGCAAGTCCAAGAATGGCAGTGATGATGACGCCCAGAAAACGTTTGGAGCAATGAGCAAATCCTTGTAACATTTGATAAAGTTGAAAAGTTCCAGGGGAATTACTCCAGACATGGGTGAGATTAATGGGAATCCATAATTCAGTGCAGCCTTTCAAGATGTATAAATCATCAGCAGAATGGTTGAACGTCTCCCACCAGGTCACATTTATACAATGTAGGAGAGTACAGTTACAGGAATATGTAACAGTGAATCTTCAGCATTGAGGGTCAATATCTTTTTGTTGTTGCCATAATGTATGAGAGTCATGATGCCATTGTCTGACACAGTCCACTGTCTGAATACCTTGATGTAATGCAACCCCTGCTGTAGCAGCTATGGTGGCAAGTCCAAGAATGGCAGTGATGATGACGCCCAGAAAACGTTTGGAGCAATGAGCAAATCCTTGTAACATTTGATAAAGTTGAAAAGTTCCAGGGGAATTACTCCAGACATGGGTGAGATTAATGGGAATCCATAATTCAGTGCAGCCTTTCAAGATGTATAAATCATCAGCAGAATGGTTGAACGTCTCCCACCAGGTCACATTTATACAATGTAGGAGAGTACAGTTACAGGAATATGTAACAGTGCCAATAGTAAGGATCCACTCTATTTGTCCACTCATTAATACAAAAGGAGGCTTAACTTAATCCTTAATCCTTAGTCCTTTGCAAAGAATTGGAATGTAGATTAACTTGAAAATTAGAATTATTAATAAGAGACATATTACCAACCCAGGTTTTAATTTCCTTCCCAGCTGCTAATAATTTCCAAAGGTGTCCTTGAACTTGGTTTTGACCAAATAAGTGTGGCGCAGGAGAGGTCAAACCTCCATCATACCAAACAACAGTTTCATTCCCAGTTCCTAATAGAGTATGATTATACCGGTGCCACTTTAAAGGAATATATTCAAATTTTCCCACAAAATTACCCTGAGGGCTCCAATCGCTGATGATTGGCCCTGAGTTTTCTGAATCATTTAACAATAATCTGGGTTGATGACTTCTGCATTTATCCCATTTCAAATATTCAATCCCGGGCAGAACTCTTGGTAATGAACACAAAGGGAGGTCAGAGGGAATATCAACAGGGGACTTTCCAAATGCCTTAAAACTTTGGGCTGACATAATTACAGTATCCTTGGCAAAGTGAGAATAATTGTATAAGACTCCCCAAGCTTCTTAAGAAATGGATAGACAATGGTTACTATATCCAACACAAAGAGGAAAGCCCTCACTCCCTATAATTAGACTCCATAGCAGTAGTATAATTAATTTCTTTGTAAAGATAAGGACCAGGCATCCATTTAGTGTCATTAGTATATATTAGCACTTCAGGTTCGCCCCAAGAAACAGCTTTTAATAATGCAGGGTTAGGGATATAGGGCCAATAAGAAAAATCTCCGGCTTGTGCCATACTTACCTGGCAAGTCACCACTGCCACCATCGCAAGCAGTAAAGGCGCTGGGATAAGGGGTTGACCAGACTGCTGTATGGTTTTTTTCAGCCTCTTGGGTTAATTTCTTTAGTTGTCCCCATGTTGGAGGGATGGCCTGACGAGTCCCTGTAGTGAAGGACCGTCGTGCTGCCAAGTCTTCAAATGCTCTCACGAAATCATCTCTTCCATTAGCCATCTCACTGTTTGAAGCGATGTGAAGGCAGCCACTCAAGACCTGTGTCTGTGGAGACAAGAGCAAACCCTTGGCCTTGCAGTACAATTTCCCTTTTTCTCCATTCTTCCTCAGGTGTTTTGTAATAGATAGGTATGGATAAGTCTTTTATTTGTGATAAATTGGGAGGATATTGAAAATGCTTTTCACTGGCTGATATCGTAGCATCTACCCAAATGTTCAAAAAATTTAAAGTAAATAGTGTTCTATATATTGTATTTCTTGGAGTATCTGTAATACCCTCTATTCCCCCTTTTTGTTTATAGAGTTGACTTTTTAGTGTGAGATTAGCATGTTCAATGATGGCTTGTCCCTGACTATTAAAGGAAATGCCTGTGATATGTACAACATTATATAGATCTAAAAAACTTTTAAACTTTTTAGAAGAATAACTAGGAGCATTATCGGTATTCAAAGTTTGTGGGATTCCCATGATAGCAAAACCTTGTAATAAATGAGTGCTAACAGAGCCTACCCTTTCTGATGCCAACGGAGTGGCCCATTGAAAATGAGAAAATGTATCAATTTTGTGATGAATATACTTTAATTTCCCCAAAGGAGGGAAATGTGTCACATCCATTTGCTAGAGTGAATTTACCTCGAGACCACGAGGGTCCACCCCTGCGGGTTGCGTGGAGAGATTTAAAGGAGCACAAGCATCACAGTGCCGAACAATATTTTGTGCCACTCAGTAAGTTTATAAGCGTCCTGTAACCCTTTGGTATTGGTATGATGTAAAGCGTGTTCTTCTTGAACTTTAATTACATTAGCTATCAATAGTTTATTAATAATATCATTACCTTTTGTAAGTGGACCAGGGAGACTAGAATGAGCTCTTATATGGGAAATAAACAAAAGTTTAGAGTGAGATATCAGAAGATCATAAGCCTGTTGAAATAATTTTTGTAACACAGTATTAGGAGTTAAAGGCAATGATGTTTGTTAGAGCAATGATATTGTAAGAATAGCATATTGGGAATCACTAACAATATTAATTGCTTGATTAGGATAATCAGACAAGACCATACAGATGGCCCATAATTCAGCTTGCTGTACAGAATATCCATTAACATTATCAATCTTACAGCCTATTTCACTCCATATCCAGCTTTCCCATTTTTAGTTGCATCTGTAAAAAAGGTGGGTCCATCAACGGGGATAGAAGAGATAGGTGAAAAGGGTAAAACAGAATGTTCTTGTAAGAAAGAAAAAAGTTTATAAGGGGGATAATGATTACCAAAAATCCCTAAAAAATTAGAACAGGTGATTCGCCATTCATTGTTCATTTCCAAAAGTTTTTGAACCTGTGAGGTTTGTAATCTAGTAACTATTTTACGGGGGTCATATCCACATAATTGTTGGAAGTGATGCTGACCTTTATAAATAATAGCAGCAATTTTGTCAATATAAGTAGTTAATTTTTTCACACATTTATTTGGTTAAAAAAAAAACATTCCAAAAGTCTATCAGACTGATCTATATATCCTGAGGGAGAATGAGGTGTATGGAAAATAAATATTGTAAGCGGTTCGTTCAAGTTTCTAAATCTCACAAAAGCATCATTAAGGCGTTTGTCAACCAATTTTAATTCATTCAAGGCTTCGGGATTTAAAGAGCGGGAACTATCTAAACGAGGATTTCCTTCTAAAATTTCAAATAAATGTCTCAGCGCACCAGTGGGAATTCCTAAAAGAGGTCGCAACCAATTTATATCTCCTAATAATTTTTGAAAATCATTAAGCGTTTGTAAATTGTCTCTTCTAATTGATATCTTTTGTGGTCTAATAAGACTTTCACTTAATTGATATCCCAAATAATTATAAGGTGGATCTAACTGTATTTTCTCAGGAGCTATGCACAAATTAGACATTTGTAATTGTTCTTGAAGTTTAGCAAAGCATTGATCCCTTATTATTTGCGTAGGTGCTGCAAGCAAAATATCATCCATATAATGATATAAAATAATATTAGGATATAACTGTCATATCAGCTGTAAATCTCAATGAACAAATTCCTGACAATGAGTGGGGCTATTTAACATTCCCTGGGGCAATACTGTCCACGGATACGTTCAGTGGGTCACCCATTATTGTATTCAGGTATTGTAAATGCAAATTTTTCTTTGCCTTCTGGCTGAAATGGGATAGTACAAAAACAATCTTTAAGATCAATAACTAATATGGACCATCCTTGTGGAATCATGGAAGGCGGGGGGAGACCAGGTTGTAGTGGCCCCATTGGTTGTATACATTTATTTATTTCTCTCAAGTCCGTAAGAAATCTCCATTTATCAGTCTTTTTAATTACAAACACAGGAGAATTCCAGGGAGAAGTAGAAAATTCTATATGTCCAGCATCTAATTGTTCCTTTAGTAATATTTTAAGGCCCTTGAGTTTTTCTTTTGTTAAAGGCCACTGTTCAATCCATTTAGGGTTGAGCGTATTCCATTGTAATTTTAA